AAGGACCCATCGTCTTAATTGAGAGATTGAGAAAAATCTTGTTAGGGTCCATTCTGTGACAGAAACTAACAAGATAACAAAATATTTACTGTAAAAAAAAAAGGACAAATAACATAATATAAAATCATCTAACAAAAATCAGTTACAAAATCATATGATTGGACGGTAAAACATGAACATTAGCCCTTCAACTCATTGGGTAGTGGCAGAATAACCCTCAAGTGCATTCACTCGCAAACTAACCCTACAACTTGCATCTGGTGGCAAAATAGCCCTTCTGACAATTGTTATGTTAAATTTAACGTTTTCGCTTTCAGCTGACTTGACATTCTAGTCTGTGAACTTAATATTCTTTGGATCTTTTAGTCCTTAAGTTTATATTTGTCATAAAAATAGCTTTTATTCTTATGTTGCTAAATTTTTTATTCTTTTAAAGCTAATGCTTTACAAACTTCATTGACATATCTCTCCCATAGTAATTCATTAGTTCTACAAGATATCATTCTTTCCTTTGTTATAATCTTGGTTACAACATTAATATGTTAATCATAAAATCTTACTAGCTTTCTTAATTTCATTCTTAAAACATTGTTTTGATGGCTTTGATACCAAAATTTTTTCTTTGGGGTTTTCGGAACTTAATTCAAACTACAAACTAATTTATAGCTGGTATGTTAAGCCCAGTAAGTGTAGAATCAAGTCTATTAGGTTGTTAATAGAAATAATCGTTATTTAACTTCCTTGAATCTTTTTAAATCTTTGTTTAAATCTGTTGTTATTCACTTTAACTTTTTGATATGCTTGAAGAGATAATAGTCACCTAAATCTTCAATATTGCTCATTTTTTTCTAAAATTTTTACTATTTTATTTTTGAAATATTTGCATTGCTGCTCATAAAATACTTTTATCTAAAATGATTTCTTGAATGAAATCAAGCATCTAAAATATTACAAATAGACTTTTTCATTTAAAATATAAAAAGATCAAGTACTATTTCTCTATTATTTCTAATCTCAAGAATAATAATGTCAAAGAATAATAAAACTATTTCTATGCCTACCTACCTTCCGCATGATAAAACAAATGAGTTAGAATTATACCTGAAAATCTTTTAATCTAGCCTTTGGTTAAGTTGATGTTTCTTTTATCCAACCTTTAATCCCACACTTTGGCTACCATGGGTATCTGGACAAGACAAGTGACCTCATTGACCAATAACACTTGGCTCAATAAAATGATACTACAATACATATCCATATCACTCATCCTCTATCTTGGCACATTGCCAAACTTATACAGCAATATTATATAAGTACCTCCAATGGCCAGTGGATAAAGAGGCATAATAATGATTATTCTCACCATCCCCTTCAATACACAAAGGGAGAGTTTTTCTTTAATGCGCATGCTCATGCATTTCATACTTATATGTATATATATGAACAAATACTCACTCGTATTTTGCTTTTTGATGCAGATAAACACAAACCCATGAATGCAAACTCATATGGATTATTTTGGGATCAACTATAAGAGTAGTAGAAGGCATGGATGGATAAACATTGCCCATTTGACAAAGTAAGGTATTCACACCAACTAACCTTGGAGTTGGTGATTTTGCTCAACTTCTCTAAGAAGGGCTGGGTAGCAAAAGCATGGAGGTAAAACTTGATCCCAAAACTGAACCGTTTGATGCTAACTAGAAGGTCTAGAATCCCATTACAAATCAACCAGAGATGTCATTTAAGTCTCCATCACCAGTCTACAATTGTGATTAATGTATAAATGGTTGCACAAGTTTCATTACATGAGAAACTAGTGAAAAAGATTATATTTTGTTTGGGAAAATCATCAAAATCATTGATAAAGGTGTTTTTGTTGGCAGTACTTAATTGAACACCAAATATGGTATTTCATATAGACAAGGAGTTACCAAGAATGGGAAGTCCCAAGTGAACTAGTAGTCCTCCACTAGAATCATTAGACAATCCATTATTGCACTCCAAAAGCTATTAGTAGTGCTCAGATCCACCCAAAACTTGATACCTATCCTCACCTAATCCAAATCTAACTATTGGTTCACTAGGCTACTATGGCCCCACCAACCCAAAATTACCAAAATACCACTACATAAATATTGATTTTTCCTTCATTTTTCGGTAGCTTTTCATTCTTCAAGAAAGATTATTCAGATCCCACACCTAAAAGCACATTTTCTACATTGAAGAAATCTTCATCTTTAACCTCTCACCTCACACCCAAAAATTTCCCATAAATCTCTATTTTTCTCACATTTTCTACACTTCCAACGATACAAATTATTCCCCAAACTTACAATTCGTCACGGTTGGAAGATTTCTTTTTGTTTTGTGGAAGGTTGAAGAAGATTATTGTGTTTCCAACCACGACATAAGGGTTGCTCAATTTAGAGTGGAAGTACTTGTCAAGGATAGCAAAGGGCATATTTATTGTGTTTATTATTATGTTACAATGTACTCTTTATAAATGTGCTTCTCAAGTTGTAAAAGTCACTCTTTATATTTTCTATCCATGCTACTCTTACCATAATGTATATCTCTTTTTCATTTATTTTTGGTAGTTGTGTAATTGTTCTTGACTCTTGAAACTCCATCATCGTTACCCAGCTCTCCTAGCTTGGCTAGGCAGGTCATACTTTCAAACTTTGCTAGAGAACTTGGAGTAGACCATCTTTTGCTAGACAAAGGGAGACGGCTCATGGCACATAGCCTCTCGCATGTGAAACAGGTGCAAGCCAAAAAGACCTTCCTCATCTCCCATCGATGGGGTATTCTAGTCAACTCCCACATCATCATCGCTACTAACTCATCAACCCCCTTATCCCAATAACATCTTAAGCTTTTATTGCAAAATTTTCAACGATTGTTTTTAATATCTTAAGAATTTTTTCTATTTTGATTTCTATATTTCTAACTTGAGATATTAGTCTTTGAATCTTTGATAGATCTTATTTCTTCTCTTATTTGTTTCAAATCTCTAGAATTTCTAACTTCATTTATTTTTTCTTTGATAGAATCAAATTCTTGTGAAGGGGAATTTCCCATTTCTTTAATTCTTCTTAAAGTACTCTCATGGATAATATCTATTTCTAGAATTTTATCAATGATAATTATATCTTTTCTATAGATTATGTCTTTTCCCAACATATTAATTTAGTTTATTTGTTCATTATTTATGTTGATTTTAGTAAATCAGCAATTTCTTTTAATTTATTAAGTATTTGTTCTCTAAATCTAATCTGCCTATTATACAATATTATTACTGAGTTTATGCTTTCATTTTCTTGTCTTAATTCCTCTAGGCAATTTTCTTTGATTTCTACTAGAATTCTTTTTTCAAATTGAGTTACTTGCTTAATTTGATGACACAAATACTTAGTATTATTCTCATTTATGTGGCAATGTCTCCCATTAAAACTTTCTTGGGGTTTAACTATTGTCCTATTGTTTATTTGAGGACTAATCCTATAATTTTTCTATTTTATTTAACATCCGCTTAACGTCACTAGTTACTCTAAGTGCTGATTTGCCACTGATTCTTAAGTATAGGGGGCGTTTTGCCACCATGCTGAGTTCGAGGGAGTAAATGCCACCATATTGTCTATCTAGGGGTTTATTTGCACCTTATGTGACAGTTAATAAAATTTAAATTAATTTTTATTATTTTTATAAATTATTGATAAAAAAAAGTACAATAAATAACCTCTTAATCTATATTAGAAAATTCCTATTATTATCGAGGGTGGCATGACTGAATTTTAGTGATAGACTTAGCCTTGTATACTTTTGTGGCCATTTCTAAAGGCATGAGGCATTGTCATGTCCTAATCTTTGAGTTGACGCGTGACAAAGTTGAAGGAGAGAAAAAAGTATAAATTTGAGTGTTAAAAGACTAAATCAATGTAGAACACTAAAATTGGGGGACAACATAAATCAACCTTAGTGCAAAATAGTAAAACTGAGGGACAACACCAATCAGCCCATCTCCCGTTTGCCATCTATAAATTTCTAAGTCTTATTATCATTTTTTTTTTTTCACTAATCTCCTAACGGTTGAGAGTAATATTGGATTATGATTAATTTAGAATTGAATTGCGTCAAATCCCATAAAAAGAAGTTCTCTCAGTATTTATTTCTCTATTTTCAAGACTTAAACTCAAGATTTGTTTAAAGAAAATTGAATTGTTTCCACTCGAACTAATAAGTAATTGGTATTTTTAAGTATTATTAAATATAAGATAAATTAACTTTTCCACCTACCCTTAGTTGAAGGACTAAATCAGTGTAAAATACTAAAATTGAGGGACAACATGAACCAGTCTAATGCAAAATACTAAAATTGATTTTTTTGAAAATAGGCAATGGAAGTAAAATACTAAAATTAAAGGACAACAAGAATTCAGGGCCATCTCCCATTTGCCACTTAAATTTTTCATAGTATTATTTTTTTAATAAACATTATTGTGTAAAAGACAAATTGACTTTTCCACCAACTTTTTAGCAAAAGATTTTCCCTGAAAAAGACAAAAAAGAAGAGATGGGAAGATGACCAGCATGGCTTATTTACTGTCTTCCTACAAATTGCCATCGACGACGGCATTCCCAACATTCAAGCTCTTCAATTTCCCTCCAAACCCTTCTCGTTCCTCCTTTGATAGCAAAAGGCGTCGCTTCATTACTCTCTCTTTGGACAACTCTTCTTCTTCATTTAATTCTAAGAAGTCCGCTAAAATTAATGTAGATTGCGCAAAACCTTCTCTTTCAACTAAGAAACTGGGAAATGATCTTGCACTGGCATCGTCCGCAAATCGAACGAAACAAACCCTGAGATTTAAGTCTATTTTGAAACTTATGTTTGGGAGGAGATCTCTGTCGAGGAGGATTCTGTTTGCATCTAACAAAGTTAGGGGTATCATTCTGCTCAATGTCAGTACTATTGTTTATGGTGAGCTTTGATTTTATTAGTGATTATAGTATTCATTTTATTTTTGAAAATCTCTGTATATTTTTGTTGTTTATAGTAAATTAAAGTATGTTACTTAGTTACTTCCTTGTTTTTTTGATATGTATGATGATGGAGGAAGCATTCCCTTTTTTTCAAATCTTATCACTAATTTAATATCTCTTATGTTAGTAAGAAAGAATGAAAAAAAGGAAAAAGTGAATCGAAACCTTCGGGTCAAAGTGGTTCATTTTAAAAGCTTAAAACGCTTAATTAGTTAGTTAAAGTTTTAAATCCAATATTGCTCCTCCCCCAATCTTTTAAAATTATAAACTGTTCAAAAAATAAAAGATGAAAGTCATTATGACTCAACATCTCATATTTTTGAACAGAAAGTGAAAGTCATTATAACTCAACATCTTATATTAATCAAAAGCTTTAAAATGAGTAAAACCCCACAAAATACACTCCAACTTTTTGAGTATGTGAGATTTTACTCCTCACATTATAATGTGTGATTTTATATCCTCTTTATATTTGAGTTTATGATAATAAGGTAATATTTAACGTCCAAAAACCATACACAACACGTGTGTCGTTAATTTCCATAAGACATAAACATGTCAGTGACACATGGGTCTTTTTTTACATGCTGGTAGTCCAGCTTGGACTGCCCATCAGTGAAAAAGATACCGCCAAACAATTTAAATTGTGGACACTACTCTGACTGTGACTTATGAGTTGAAAAAAAAAAAAAAAGGAAAGTCAGATGAGATTGCATATGCAGCCAGAATTGATGCCGAGGCCGGAGATGATAGTAACAGTCTTGGATCTGTGGCCTTGATGCTAGTCGGAAAACTAATCAACGGCTATCTCTCTGAGATTGCATCAGACGCGAATCTCAAGCCTGAGAAGTTTTACAATCTCGCAATCTCTCTTTCGGATCAAGCCAGAGTCTACGACGACGGTCTCTACAGAGCCATTGATGTGTATCTCAAGGTAAAACGCAAAAGAATTTCTTAGAAAAGAAATTAAAAAATAAGACTCGTCTTATTCATGGACTTGATTTCGGTTTTGGCTATTTAATAGGCGCATCCATGGCTACGGGAGTTTGAGAGCAAAAAGATCTACGCAATAATTGATTATCAAAAATTCACACTAGAGACATGCACTCACGCAGCTCAAAATGAGCGATTGCCATTACGCACGGCTATACAGGTATTGTTCTTGGACCAGTTACCGGGACTCTGCTGGCGGTAGAGACCACGCAGACTGAAGCGGGGCGATTATCAGCGATGAGAAGAGAGGATGGGGAAGGAGAAGAAGGGGTTGGTCCATGGCTATGGTGCGGAGGGAGAGAGTAGTACATGGAGGGCAGCAATGAGGGAGAATCAGGTGTTGCGACTAGACATGGATAGCATGAGAACACGGGTGCATCAGCTGGAGAAAGAGTGCTTGATGATGAGGGAAGTAGTCGAGAAGTTCGAGAAGGAGGGCCCACAATTATATTGTTTGGCGGTATCTTCCTCGCTAACCAACAAGCCAAGTTGAATTGCCAATATGTAAAAAAAGGCCAACGTGTCACTGACCTGTTCAAGTCTGATGGAAATTAACAATGCACGTGCTGCACGTGACTCTCGACGTTAAAGATTTCCTCATTATCATAAACTCGAATATAAGAGGGTATAAAATTACACATTGTAACGTGAGGAGTAAAGTCTCACATACTCAAAAAGTTTGAAAGCATTCTATGGGGTTTTGCCCCTTAAAATGAATTACATTCGTGTATTTACCTAAGAAATTGTCCTGTTAATGCCTATTTTAACATGTGTATTAAGTCATTCTATACGGACCATATTTTACAATATGATATGTGTCACCTGTTAGTTGCTTTTTTATAATAATTTCTTTCTTTTCTTTTTTTTTTTTTTTTTTTTTTTGTAAAATTTGCTGTTGTAGCAAGTAGCATTTCTATTGTGAAGGTGTTTAGAGCAATTATAGACCTTGTTGCCTTCACAGCAGTGCAATTTATGGTTTCTGCCATTCCGTTTATCACATTCATACTAGGAGCTGGAGAGGATCCTCACACCCGTAATGCAGCTGTTGAGTTGGGTTTCTGGATCAGTTTGGGGCACCTCATGCAAGCACTTGGACTGCTAACATCTGATGCTGGGCATGCATCATTCTTATCTATGTTCACTGTTTGTTTCTTTCTTGGTTACTCTCTAGATTCTAAATGAATTTTTCTACTTTTGGAGTGCCTTAAGCTACAAGCTTAGCAAATTATGTTTGAATTTATCAGGTGATAGTGGTTCCTTTGCTTGATGGTATCTTAGGAGCTGTAGTACCTGCCCACACATGGTTTGGTGCTCTAATGTCTATCATAGGAGTTGGAATGCTAGTGGAATGCTAGAATCTAGTGGATTAGCTCCATATGTAAGTGTTACTAGTTTCCATTTGGGTCTTGTTGCAATTTCATGAAGAAAAATGCATTGTAAAACCTACTTAAATAGTGAATGTCATGCTATTTTGTTGTTTGAGAAAACTTTTTTCACCATGTTTACTTCTTATACCAAAATATTACAGGTTGGAGATTTCTTGAACTTCTTAAGTGCAGTATTTTCTGGTGTTATTTGTTAAGAACTGAACAAATTTCTAGAAGTACAAATATGAAGAATTTCTTACCCCTCCTTGGATATGAGGTTAGCATATTATCCACATGGACACTCAAAGCTTGTTTGCCATTGTGTGAGGTTGAATAATTTGAGATTCATTCAGGTATGCGTTGTTGCTTTTTTCTCAATGCTGTGGTACTTTCTTGGAGGCTAGTTTGGTGGTACTCTACGTTTCAAACCATCATCATGGACATGGAAATTGTGTTTGGACTCAATCATCAGGTTTCCAGGGATACCTCCACTTTACACACGGATATTCTCAACTGGCTTATCCTTATGGGTGGAGGTAATGTTGATAGCCTTCAGCATTCCAGGAAAAGCCAAACACTTTACAGTTCTTTCCTTGTGCAACTCTAACCCAAATGGAATCTTGATTCTGAAAATTGAAAATTGCTCAAAAAGCTAACCGCCTGGATCAAATACCTTGAGTTGGATTCTTTCCTGCTTGGGTTGCTTTTTCAACCCTAGGTTGGGGGTGGTGTGGCAATCTGGATATATGTTCTAGAGAAATAATGGAAAAGACTATAAGTGTGTCCCAATATGGAGCTCATAATCAAGAATCATTTATCCAACAGTTTTCATCTTTTAGGTTCTCAATAAAACTAGTTTATCATGCAGATGGCTGCCATGCGTGATGTATCAGCCACAGAAACTGCAATAATTTATGGGTTGGAGCCTGTTTGGGGTGCTGGTTTTGCATGGTTTCTCCTTGGTGAAAGGTGGGGTATCACTGGTTGGATAGGAGCTGCACTTGTTCTAGGTAATGCAACTTTTACTCTGGTTATTGATTCTTCATTATTTTCTAATTTTGTTGTCCCAAGTTTAATTTATACTTCTTTGTAAATTATCTGCTTGTTAAGTGACATAATGGCAGTTAGATAACCCTCTGCTTTCAAATTTAATGTAAACCCCAAAAAAAAAAAAATTATGTATCTAGGATTTCTATTGCTCATTCTATTGTTCACATTCATTTTTTCATGAATGCCACATGTGAAATTAATGCCCCAAGTACAAGGTACAAGTAATGGCCAATTTTTTGGATATTGATCTCAAATATATTCATACTTATACTTGTTTTCTACATCTTAGTTTTTTGCTGTACCCTTGGGTGATTAGATTCTAAATTTTAAGGTGCCAAATTGGGGAGTAACAGTTGTGAGCTGGGAAAACTTAACTGGAACATTAACGTGTCTTTCCTGTTTAAACTTTAAATGTAGGCAATTGAAAAAGCTACAACCACTGATTATGAATCAATACTGGGAAGTTTCTGTGATAGTTATGGTTCATTTTAGTATTAGAACTCTATTTCTTTTTATATTTCCTTTTTGACATAGATATATATGTTCCACACAGCGTCATTATGCAAATACAGAAATCTTAATATAGCTAGCAAACTTTAAATTCAGGACTTAGCTTTATTCTCCTCCAATCATTGCTGATTTGGATGGATCATTGTGATTCTCTTGCTGATTCACGAAGCATAACTAAAGTGTACTGCCCATCATGTGAGGTCTTATTTTGAATTTAGAATTTGGAATTGGATACATTAATTTGCCCTTAACACAAATGCAATGAATGCCAATAACTCCTTGGTTACCCTCTGAAGCACCATAGACATATAAACTGATCTTATAGTAGATGCATGTGCATGTGGAGTTGCCATTCCCTATGATTTAAGCTCCTTCTCATTCGTGGCACACCTACTTAATGTAGTTTTCCCTCTTAATTTCTAATGTCAGTGTTAAGGCTTCTTTATGATATTTTAACCAAGGTGAATGATGAAGTCTGATTTTTAGGAATTATAGAAATTTTTTTTTCCTGGCACATATTTGCTGCTTGATCCAATGTTTGTTCTTTTAATCTTTCAGTTGTTAAAAACTAAAATTATATCCGTGTAGGTGGAAGCTTAATAATGCAGATATTTGGATCGTTATACCCCGTTAAGTCTGGTGAGGATGAACAGACAGGCAAAACAGTGATTGTGTAATGGTTTCAGAGGAGCAAAATGTTTCATCTGCCTTGGAGTAATTGTTCGCTTCAGGAAGGATGGTCATTAGCTTTTGAAGAAGTAAGCAACATTTTCTTTGATTGGTTTTAAATTTTGTCTATATTTTCCCCACAGGCTGCAAGAGGAGGTTTCCATCTGATAACGCTGTAGTTGTAGAGTAAGGTCTCATTTTGATATGCTAATTGAGATCTGATAGCTTTATTCCTCTTTTATGATACTCATTTTTGCAACAATGAATAAATGAAAGGATATTAATTCATTGCCATAATAATTTCTACTTTCTAGAAGGATCTATTATGCTAATCACTTGAATTCATTCTCTTTGTTTGCAATGAAGCATATCATACAACGAAGAGCAAAGTTATCTGCAGTCGGCATGTTAGCCACTGCTTTAATTTTCAGCTCGTAAAAGAATTATCAAATTAAAATAAAATTTTAATAATTGTAATGCCTAATAAAATTTATGGTGGTTTTTTTTTTTTAATACTGAATGTGAGACTCGAATTTCACAATTGTCAAATTTAAAATAAAAAATTTTTTACAAAAAAAAAAAGATAATTATTAAATTAAATTACATGAACATGGTCATGGTAGTGATAATGATGACTTTACAATCAAAGAAAAAATATTTTAGTATCATTTTCTAGGTACTCCTAAGAGGACCAGGTAGATTTTCTATTCTATTAATTAACTTATCTTCCTATTTTTTTCAACGCTCTTTTTCAAAAGTCCAAAGAGAGGTAGCTTTTGCTTTGAACAATATGTTTGGGATACATGAATGTGGTGGAGGGATGAGATTATTAATTAATTAAATTATAATATTTTAAATATTATGACATGATTAAAAGCTTTTTATTTGTTTTACTTTCTTCCATTCTAGCATGGTGTAATAATTATTTTTTAATTAAATTATTAAAATAAGATAAATTGGAAGGAGATCACAACAAATAAGAAATGTCAATGTAGCTAATAACATCTCGATGTATTTTAGTTATCCATTCCCCTTTTTTTTCTCTCAAGTCATGAGAAGAATTGATGGGAAGTATGAAATAGTAATCACTATACCTCATTGGTATGCTTTTAATATAATTTAGTCTTATTTTTATAATTTAACGAAAGAATGACCACTATATCTACTTAAATATGACTGGAAAGATTAGTCTCAAGTTATCAATTCAGTTATTTACGTGTTTTATGTTATTTTTAATAATTTTTTATTTTAATTTAAAAATTAAGAAATTTTTACACATTTTAAATAATATATGAGAAATTAAGACGTTTAGATATTTTTAATGTTAAAATATTTAATTCCAACCATAAAATAGGTGCATCATAGTATTGGACAACCTAATTTTCATTTTTTTTTTTTATGTTGTTTCAAATTAAACTACTAGATTACTACTCACAGTCTGGCTCTGTCTCTACTTCTATTTAAGGGAGACATACAATGTTCAGCTAAGTCACACTCAAACGAATTGCTACTAAGAGATGGCTCTCCTTTATAAGTCAGAGGCAGATGTAGAAACCAAGGCCACTGCTGAGCAATTCTACCGCACATTTGGAACACGAGCACATCAGGTTCCTAACGCAGCTCCTACTCGAATTCAAAAAGTCGCCGTGCACCAAGGTGACTAGGAGACTCATGGTTTTGTCAAGGTCTGGAACCTAACTGCAGGTAATTATAATATAAAATGATATAGTTATAATATCATTTGATATTGTAAGTTTATAACATAATATATATTTATATAATAAATTCTTTTCATTTAAAGATATATTTATGGTATTTTATATATATATTCATTTAATAACATATCATAATTATAAATTTACAATTTTACTTAATAATATAATTATAACATTATCAATTATAATATCTATTAATTTCTTCTTCATTTTGTAGTATTGAAAAGTTTAAGGAATTTGATAAAATTAAGTACATTTGTTTTAATTTACTGGGTGATGCATATTATAGTGGGCGTAGCTGAGACTTTCAAAGAGAAGGTGGAGTTAGACGAGGAAAGCAAAACAGTGAGATTGGTTGGGTTGGAAGGAGATCTCTTCAACCATTACAAGAGCTACGTTGTTACCCTTAAGGTAATTCCAAAGGGTCAGGGAGGTGTGGTGAAACTTACGTACAATTGAATTGGAGAAGCTGAAGGAGGATGCAGCGGATGAATACAAGTGTCTTGATTTTGGATTTGGTCTTATAAAAGATACTGATGCTTGTCTTGTCAAGGCATGAAGGAAGATGGATCTCTAGCTCTAGCTAGATATCCTTTCTTTTGATGTAATGTTAAGTTCTTGATATGAGGAAGTATAATGGGTGTGGTTATGAATCTGTAATCCAAAACTTGGTGTGCTCTCAGCTGGCTAGCCATGCATTTTTCTTGTTTGTAATAATTATAATAAGATAGCGAGGGTGTTTGGATCAGTAGTACCTCAACTATGGAAAATAACATACAAATAACTAATGATATTAAGATTAGTAGTTATTGTTGTTTATATTCTAATTAGTTCAAACTACCAATTATTTGCTTAAAACTTTTTAATATCAAACTTTTACACCATATGTCTTAAAACTCTTTAAACTATTAGCCATTTGTTTAAAACTTTTAGTCTTGGATTTCGATACCATATACCCTAAAACTCTACAGGCTGTTTGATTGAAGCAAAACTTTTTTTAAAATTTTTTTTTAAAAATTTATCTTCTTACAAGATTGTTTATATATTTTTACACATTAATACTTTAATAAAAAGAGAGTAAGGATGATAATTTTATTCTTTTTGTTCCCTAACACAATTTTCAAATTATAAATTTTTCTTTCTACACTTTTTGAAAAAAAAAAGAAGCTTTTCTTCTAACTTTTTATATGTTTGATTTATTCGACAACTTTCATATCAAAATTTTTTATATCAATTTCTTATTAAATATAAAAAAAAAATTTAATAAAATTTCATTTAAAAACTTATATATAGTATTTTTTCAACTATTCTTTTTAACAAAGTTAACCTTTGATCAAACAATCTGTATCTACAAATTATTTGTAAACTTCAGATGCTCCAATGGCAAAGGTAATCAAACGTTTAGAGAGAGTTGAGTTCGAAGATGCAACTAATCAAATGTTTCGAGAGAGTTGAGTTCGATGATGCAACTAACTAGAGCTATGATTCGAGTGGGTTAGAAGGCGGTGTGTTCAAGGAATTCGGACTCTACAATGCCATATTTCAGCCAAGTCCAAAGAATGAATATATTGGAGCAATGCATCATGCATTATTGGTGATGTAATCACGCCATCATCACTGTCACACGTAAATTAATTTTTAATTTTCAACTAAGATAATACGGAGTAGCAAGAATAATGCAGCGCCAATTTCAAAAGGAAAATAGTGAGTGCAACTCCTATCCAATACAATCAACACACACTTGAAATTGTCGGGCCAGCATATCTATATATATATATATATAGCCCTAAATTTGTAATACTAATGGTAGGCACTAGGTAGTGTCATTAGGTGAAGGACGAGGGATCACCAATTTCCTCCATAAATTATGTCTCAAATCTTTCGGAAAATAGATAAGACAAAAGGGTTTAACTTGTGCCATATGGCACAAGTTAAGATACAGTAATTATATTTTTTAATTAATTTACATAAAAAAAATTTAAAAGGTAATTTTACTTTTAATAATTATCTAATTAAAATTTTATATTGACATTATTTATAAAAAATTTTATAAGGATAAAATTAATTTTTATAATTTTTTTATAATAATAATTTTTTTTGTATAAAAAGAATTAAGGAAAAGAGAGAAAGAATAAGAAACAAGAGAATTTGAACTTGAAAATATATGTAAAACACTCATATAATAACCACGTAAATCAGATATCAACATTTTTATAATAATTAAATATATTTTTAATTCATACTACAAGAATATAAATTAGACATATTTAAAAAAATAAAAATGATGTGTGATTAGAAAGCTATACTGTAGTAGTAATAAGTTGTGAGACCACGATAGCTGCATGTACGATTACTAGGAAAATTTGTCACTCGTGTGATGTGGCCACTGTCTTCATTTTTTGTCTTTTTTATTGAAATTTTCAAATCACTGCATTAACAAATTTTAATCGGATATTACTCGTTTGAAAAAAAGGACATCTCAACCTTCTTATTACAGCACTTAATTAAGTGTTTTTTATTTTATAGTCTGAATTATAAAATATTTTTATTTATTTTATAGTTGCACTTAATTAAATTTGGATGTTACAAATTAAAAAAAAAAAAAAAGAAGAAGATAAATATAAAATTTTAACGTATAGGATGGGTACCCCACCAATCAACAAAAATGAAGAAGAACGAGAAATTCAAGTTTCCAAAAGAGAGTGCTAAAGCTAAGTAAATGATGTTATCTCATTTATTATACTATGATTTACTATCAATTATGTTGGAAATTCAGGTTAAACTTCTCCCTAACATAACAAATAAAATTTTTAGGCAGATTTTAGATTAAAGTTTTTTATTTTTTATTTGGTAAGAAGATTAAAGTTTAATTAGGGTTAATATTTAAATAAATTAATTTCATTAAATATACCAAATGAATGTGCAAGTGCACCCTTAATTACATAAGATTATTCAAATATGCAAAAACTATTCCAAAAGCATCTTCATCGTAAATAAATAAATAAAATAAAATAAATTGTTGTTAGGAGTTGATGCAACTGATCCAAATACCAGTGAATTCATATGTTATTATATATTTTTATACCGGGAATTTGAGTGTCTCATGTAATCTTAATTAACACTATCCCTTGTTGATCAAGAATAATTAACATTTTTTCCTCAACGTTTTTTACCCTAAGCGCCTTCTGTTAAAGTAAATAATTGGTACTTCCTTTCTGTTGGGGTAAAATTTTCTTTTGTTGATAAAAAAAGAAAAAATGCCAACTTTTGCTCAGAATTGAGATGCACACACCAAATTAAGTTACATATTTATTCCAAATATATATGACTTAAAACATTCATGCAACACATAACCACTCGATCGGATCGATGCTACATATTACTCTTATTTAGCATATGCTTAAAGTAGTAGCACCGATATGTGACAATATTTGTCTATTTAGCACTGGTGAGGTGGGAATCGATTTCCTTAGAGAGTTCGGCTGCAAACTGGAGGAGTGTCTCAGGGTGCGAAATACCAGGATGCAGCTTCTCATATTCATATGTCCAGTGTGACACACTGCCAGTTCCCTTGGGCGTAACTTGAACTGTGATTTTGAAGCTCTTGTACTCGTTCAACAGATCCCCTTCAATCACCTTGTAAGTCACTGAGTTGTTTACTGGATCTATTTTCTCCACCTGCTCCTTAGATACTTTAGCCTTCCCATCTATTCATTCCAAAAAAATTACAATAATCAATGTGTATGTTTCTTTAAAAGATAATGATTAGTACACTTCTGATTTAACATATTTTACAACACATTTATTAAAAAATTATTATTTTTAAATTTAAATTTAAGGTATGAAAAATTTTAACTACAAAATTTAATAATTAAATCAATAAGTATTAGTAAGTGTATTGAATAAGAAGGCGTACTGATTATTTTGATTCTTTAAAAAGAAAGAAATTTAAGAAAAGAAACATTGAAAGGTACATCGATTTAAATTTATAGAGCTTTTGTAAAAATGTTGAATCGGGAAATTATACATTTTTTTACCCAACTTCTATTTTTGAAATAAAGGTATAGTACTCTAAATTATGATGGATGTCTACTATAATAAAAGATTAATTAGAAATAATATCTTTCGTACCATGGATATAGTTGCAGATGATGACAGAACCTTCCTTGCCCCATTCACCTTGGTGCAACTGGACTCCCTGGATCTTAGAAGGGGAGACGTTGGAGATGTGGTGAGGTCTGCTGCAGAGTACTTCATGGAACTGTTGAGCAGAAGCCTTGAGCTCAACATCGGTTTCCAGCTTCCCAGAAAGACTCATTTTTTTAATAATAAAGTCACCAATGCTCAACACTAACAATGTGGAGTTGTATTGTGTGGAAGGCCAGTGCCCTAGCTCGCCCCCAAATATAGAGTTAAGGCAGCAATCCTCTGAGGTTTATGTTCCTTAGCTACATGGTGTGAGTAGCCAGTTACAGTCTTCCACTTAATAGGAAGAATCAGCCTTCTCATTTTCTCTTGAAATACAGAGAATCATTTCCTTTATAGGTTACAAATGACATCATAATTTAGTGTGCATATATGTATATAATGATTGCCAAATAACAAAAAGGCAGAAATACCATAAAATAATACAATAGTCACTATATGACCAATGGAAGTTCGGTCAAATTAATACTCACTAATTTTAAATTTTTAATTTAAAATTATAAAGATTCAACTTCCTTCAATACCAAGCAACAAACTTTTGGTATGTTAAAAAATAATAATAAGAACTGAGGAAAATTAGGATGATTTAGCAATTAAAAGATCAAGATTGATTATAAAAAGATTAAAATATTTTAAAAAACTTAACACACAAAAAATATTTCTTAATGATATTTAAACAATTTCACGAAAAAATCTTCATATTATTTTAAGTGACACAACATTTTAATTTTTACTCTTATCATAAAATAATAATAATAATAGATATTTCAATCTAAGGAGCCATCGTTGTAAATGAGAGATTGAGAAAAATCTTATTAGGGTCCATTCCGTTGACAAATAGTAACAAAATAACAAAATATTTACTGTTCAAAGAAAAAGATAAATAACATAAATCATCTAAAAAAAGATCAGTTACAAAATCTGGATGTAATTTGCTATGCTCATCGCTTTTGTCACGACATATAGTTTTTTGTCCGTGTCTCCCTGATATTATATGATATGTAATTTGCTATATGTTTCAAACAATGGGATTCATCTCTTTTGTCAGGAAAATCAGCTTCATTTTGGTATTTGTTATAGCATATTGGATAAAATTAAGGAATAAAGATTAATATTGACAAAGGAGATAATACTTATATCAAAAATATAAAAATCAGGATATCTTAATGCTCAAGACGTCCATCACAATCATTTATGAGTAAACTCTATCTTTTGAAACAGACTCAACGAATGATTGTGATCAATATCCTGATTTTTGGAACTCTTTACATATATATTTATAGAGTATATATGGTAACAAGTTATCAATTCTAGTTCTCCTACGATGTGGTAAGTATTTAGAAGCGTTTAATCTTTAAGAGTTGGTCGAATTTTGTCCAAATAAGCAAAGTTTTGAATTCTGAAATTTCCTTGTAATTTTTGACTAATGAAGTATGAATTTTTCTCACACTTAGCCTGATATGTCATATGGCCATTAACTGAAGAAGAAAACAGGAGCTAGCTCCGAACCATTTTAAGACAGAAGAAAGTAGGGACCAAAATGGCTCAAATCCAGAAGTTGAGAGACAATTTTATGGATTAAATTTAAACCAAACGCTCGCGGCGCCAAGAGAAAGCACAAAAAATTCCACCAAGCAGATCACGAAACCCAAAACAGAGTACTACAAATTAATTAGAACTGGGCAACTTCCAGGAGATATCAGCGATAATATATATGACAAGTCTCGAAAAGTTTGGTATCTAAATTCCCAGCCCCATAATGTTAATTATGACCCCAAATAGAGCAAACGATAAATCGAAAATTCAAGACCTTCTACTACATGTAAAAGGGTATTACAACAACTTGCAAATATACATAACAAACCTATTATACTTTTCCGAACATAAATTCACGCGCACACACACACGTTGCATTACCACTACTGAAACATTCCAAGGACATGATGACACTGTCCTTATTAAGGATATACTAGGTAGCAGCACTCAATATTCAAGCAGAAGTGTATATATATTATGCCTGAGTACTGGTGAGATGGTTGTCAAGTTCTTTGGAGACTTCAGAGCAAAACCCAAGCAGCGTCTCAGGATGTGGAACATCGTCTTTCAGCTTCTCATATTCCAATGTCCAGTGTGCTACACTGCCCTCTCCCTTTGGAGTTACATCAATTTTGACAATGAAACTCTTGTACTCCTTCAGCAGGTCCCCTTCAATAACTCTGAAAGTGATCGAGTTGTTCTTTGGATCTATTGCCTCAACTTTCTCCTTTGCAATTTTGGCCTCCCCATCTATATATAAATAGTTCATGCAAATAAAACAACATTAATATTCATTACTCACGTAGAAAATGAAGTTGTAACATTGATTGCGAATGATCTAAGGAGTTCAATGGTAATCTTCTTTTGTTAAAAGTTAAAGATTTTAGATTTGACTCGCATAACATGCAAAAATGGTGAAATAAGGGATGGAAGAGTTGTACCACAAAGATAAAGATATAAAAAAGAAAAAAAATGTTGTAATATAGATTCAATGGTAACCGATTTTCGGCCTTACCATGTACATAGCTCCAGCAGATGATAGAACCCTCCTTGCCCCACTCACCATCGTGCAGCTCAACTCCTTGAATCTTATCAGGGGAGACATTGGAAATATGGTGAGGTCTGCCGCAGAACACTTCATGAAACTTTTCAGCAGAAGCCTTGAGCTCTACATCAGTCTCTACCTTACCGGTACCCATTTTCCAATTAACCAATCAAGTTTTTATTTGAAATTTAGATGAGTAATAATAATCAAGAAACTGAAAATGTGAAGTTGAGTTGGAGGAAAATACAATGGTATCGATCCCTTTTATATTGTAAGGAACCAATTCTCTCAGGTTCCTTTTCTGAACCTTAAATGGTATTAGGTGTAGTCTGTCGGTCGGTAAAATCACAGAAGATAACAAAAAATAATGTCCTCGACAAATAACAGAGATTCATTGATGGAAAAAGCTGAATCAACGTGATTCTCGTGATGTATGGATGGACGAGGTCAATGTTTCAGGTAGGGTGGGACACTGCCGATCCTTAAGAAACAAATTGCAAACTTCATATATATGAGTTTCCTATTTTACAGTCTAAAAATGCAGTACATACTACATGGTTCTAGAAATTATGACTTTACATAATTCCACAAAATACGCACTTGTAACACTCAAAGGATGATGCTTCCTTATTATTTATTATGTACTAGTAGCACTGATTTCTTATTTTTATTTTTTGGAATTGCAGGTAGTAGCTAGCACTTAATATTTAGATGTAGTATCTATGCTTGGCCGCTGCTGAGGTAGGCATCCATTTCTTTGGAGACTTGAGAGCAAAACTCAAGCAGTGACTCAGGGTGTGGAATATCCGCATTCAGTTTCTCATATTCCAAGGTCCAATGTGCAACACTGCCTTCGCCCTTTGGAGTTACACCAAGTTTCAATAGGAAGCTTTTGTCTGCCTTCAACACATCCCCTTCAATAACAACGAAAGTGGCCGAGGTGTTCTTTGAATCTATTTCCTCAACCCTCTGCTTTGCAATTTTGGTCTCCCCATCTATATCCATGCAAAAAGCAACATTGAGCTTCATTACTCTTATAATAGAAAATTAAGTCGTAATATAGATCAAAGCATCAATCGCAGCCTTAATTACCATGCACATAGGTCCAGCAGATGATAGAACCCTCCTTGCCCCACTCTCCTTCGTGCAAGTCCACTCCAAGAATCTTACCAGGGAAGGCATTGGAAACATGGTAAGGTCTACTGCATAACATTTCATGGAACCTTTCAGCAGAAGCCTTCAGCGCTACATCAGTCTCTAGCTTACCAGTTAGACTCATTTTCCAGTTAACCAAGTTCCTATATGAAATTGAAATCGGTAGTAACAATCAAGAAACTGAAAATGCGGAGTTTTGTTGCAGGATAAAGCAATGGCTATCGATCCCTTTTATAGAGAGTTAGGCATCAATGGATTCAATCCTCCCAGGTTCAATTTCTCACAAAACTAATAACAAATTAGATTAATTTACGTGAGCAGTGGTGTAACCTGAATTTGAAACTAGCGCAACACCAAGTAAGTCAAGTCCGATCCAGATTTCAAGTTTGCATTCTTTAGAACTCAAAGTGCAACATTGTCCAAAATCCTTACATATAACCATTAGTTATATTACTTTTTGACATATTAACTAGGGAAATATGACACAAGTTGGAGAGTTCCGAGAAGAGAAATACAAGGGTTCGGATAACTTGTTGCAGCAGGACGCATGCTGAAGGCTTGATGCAAGCCTTATGCATGCTGCTGCGCATGAGTCATGAATGACATATGCTGTTGTCTGTTGTATTGAATGATTTATGTGGGTTCAAGCTATTAGAAGCTGGGAGTTGGAGATTTGAGAGTTTTGTTGCTAATGATTAATAATGTGGTTGTGTGGTCTATCATGAACTGATTTGAACCAAAAGCTTAACATTAAAATGTATCCCTAACCAGAATTACGATCAAGTTTATACTAAACCATCATAAAACAGAAACATGCTACACATGAGAGATGAGTTCTAGAAGTAATGAATTTACAGTAAAACATACAAGTTCAAATGTTATCACAGGCAATCTCTTAAAATTGGACTAACTCCAGCCATATTATTTAGTTGAATTATGATTTTACAACAATAATAATGAGTCCAAATATCATTACAGGAAATGTATTAAACTCAGCTTCAAGAGTATATATATACACTATATAGTACAGACTGAGAGACAATTAAACCATTATTCTTCACCTTCCAAACCCTTACAACCTGGAACTTCAATCCACTCCAGTTGGATCCTCACTTCCCCGCACTCAACATTTTTCAACCTCAGATCCATGTCTTGGATGATCTTGCCATTTTTCCAGACAATGCTACTCTCTTCAGCAAGACAGTTATTCCTGTTTGGCTGTATTCTCTTGAGTGCACAACCATCTGGAAGTTGTTGCAAGCTCTTGCGCAACCTCAGGGCTTCTATATAAGGTTGAATGTTTATCTCTGCATCGCCCATTTTGTCATCCACGGTAAATGTATCTTTGTCATAAACTGTCTGCAAGAAACACATAAATTTAATGGAATTAGAAGAGTGTTGCATATGATCCTTAGCTTCTTTTTATGTTAATAAAAAATACTTGATTAAAGGTTAAAGTCACAGGTTCAAACCTATGCAAGATTAAGTAGAAAATCTCGGATGTAGCAAAAATAAAAAATAAAAAACAATCAGGTTCGACATCATCAATGACTAGTGCAAAAATTTAGATGGTTCATATTCATCATATGCATTCATGAAATGTTGAATTGTGAATATGCATCCAATGCAGAGGGGGCATATTACTTACTAAATGGATTGGAATGACTGGCTCCCTGATAGAAAGAGTCAGATCTTCGTTCCATTCAGGATTGCAGTTGTGTTTCACCACATGGGTCTTCAATTTCTGCATAATTTAAGAAGTAGGACGTCAAAGGAAAGTATATACATGCATTAATAAACCACAAAGCTTTAATTTAGAAATTCCCTTCGATAACTAGCTGGAGGCTCAAGTGACTATTTACCAGTTGAGCTACTGCCAATGATTTTGTTTTTGGGAACATAAGCAAACCAGAAAACAAAACAATCGCATGATTTAAATCCAATACAAGAAGAGAAAAATGCATAGACTTCACGTGGATCAACAATCAAAACCAGACTGAAATAAAGTGGTTGTGGGGAGAATGGGTGGCAGAGGTATGGAAACAGAAGACAAAGAGGAACAGAGAAACATGCCTGTTGACCCATGGTGAGGACAACATAAGGATCACTGCTATTGGTATCACGAACAGCAAGATTGGTGCCTCTTTTGACCCGAACACGGAGCAGCCCCAGCAATTCATCCATTGCTGAGGAAATGCATGTATGTTCGAATGTGACTCGAGTTTGTATCTTTTTGTATTATAGACTTTTGAAGTTGAAGACGTCGTTCATCCAAGTGTAGGGCCCGCCAAAACGGATATTTCCAGACCATGAGATGAGCGATATAGGGGAAAGGAGGGAGTGTGGCACGCGGCAGCGGAAGTGCCGCTTCTGGTTGTGGCTCACCTCCATCTTCGCACCGCCCTCTGTTCCTGTCGCGACTGCTACTATGGCTAAATTCTGATTCCTTTGGGTTGCCTGTATTATAGTTTGGGCTTCTGAAGCCTGATTGTCATAATGGGCTTTTCAAACCCAGTTAACTGTTAACCATGAATCTTTAAAAGACTCCAACAGATATGGAAAGCCCAATCTTTTTTCATTTTTTTTTCTCTCTTGAAATTTCTTAGAAATGAAATCTTGAAGATATATCTTAGATCATTTCACCAAAAACTTAATAAATAACAGAGTGATTTATTAAAATTATTTCAACTTAAATGACAATAAAGGGATTCGAACCTATATTTTGATGCATTGTCATTGACCCTTTTTTTTGTATCAAATTTATTTTTTTTTCTTCTTGATCTTGCTTGCATTACCGAAGACAGTTGTTTCTAAGCTACTAGTTACTAGAGAGATTTGCAAGGGACTAAAAAGACGTCTTTTTAACCATGGATCACATGGCATTAGGTGGGAAGAAAATAGCAATGCAAGGAATGGATGCTGACAATGACACAGATGCTGTCACGTTAGTTTATAGTTTGTAGCAGTTGTTTAGTTGTTTTTGATTAGTTTGTTTTTTATGAATGTCGTGCAGTTAACTTTCAATTTTTATCAGTTTGTATTAGTTTGTTATATTTCCTTGTAAAGAGCAGATTTGTTCAATGAAAATTTTAGTTCTGCACTTATCAAATCTTCATCTCTTAGTTCAAAAACTAACAATTGGTATCAGAGCCCTTTTGTTCTTGGAAGGACGGTGTCGACTAAGTGTAAGCTCATGAGGGAGTGATTTCAACCATGGAACCTTCTAATTTCACACCCAAAACTCCCTACTTTACAAGCCAAAACTACTCTGCTTGGTCTATGAAGATGAAGGCCTACCTAAGGGCATTTGATCTTTAGGATGTTGTTGAAAATGATAAGGAACTTGCAGCCTTGCTGGAAAACCCAACCTTGAATCAGATCAAGAAGCATACAAAAGAGTCTACAAAAAGGTACAAGGCTCCTACGTGTATCCATGGAACTGTGTCAAATGAAATTTTCAACAGAATTATTACTTGTGAGACAACAAAGGAAGCTTGGGACACAATCAAAGAAGAGTTCCAAGGAGATCAAAAAACCAAGGAGATCTAGATTAATAACTTGAGAAAGGAGTTCGTGGTGTTGAGGATGAAAGAAATAGAGACAGTGAAGGAATACTTAGATCGAGTGATGAAGACGATGAATTATTTGTACTTGATATAAGTCATAATTTGATCAGTGTTGGCCAATTATTGGAGAATGGTTATGTTTTGAATTTTCATGACAAAATGTGTGAAATTGCTGACAGGTTTGGTACTAGATTGTTTTTGATAAAGATGTCTGATAAGAGTTTTCTAGTGGAATGGAAGCATACTAGGGTGCATGCTTATCCTAGTATTGTTGATGAATCTGAAATTTGGCATAAAAGATTTGGCCATTACAATTACAATTCATTGAAACTGATGCATTCACATGAAATGGTTGCTAATTTACCTACAATAGAAGATTGTGGTTCTATGTGTGATGTTTGTCAAAAGGGAAAGCAATCCAAATTCCCTTTTTCAAAGAAAAGTAATTGGAGGGCTACAGAACCATTGCAATTAATACACTTTAACATTTGTGGCCTTATGAAAACAGAATCTATCAATGGGAGCAAATATTTTCTGCTATTTATTGAGGATTTTAGCTGGACATGTTGGGTTTATTTTTTGAAGTAAAAGTCAGAAGTGTTTAACAAGTTTGTGTAGTTTAAAGCTGTAGTTGAAAATGAGATTGGCAAGTTAGTGAAGGTTTTAAGAACAAACAATGGTGGTGAATGTACCTCACTCTAGTTTAAGGATTTGTTGAAGAGCCATGGCATAAAACCCCAACTCACAGTACCATACAATCCTCAGCAAAATGGTGTCTGTGAAAGGAACAACAAATCAGTTATGAATATGGCCTAGTGTTTTATGTTTGAGAAGAACTTGCCAAGAAAATTATGGGCTGAGGTTGTAAATACTTCTTTATATTTGCTCAATAAAGTTCAAACAAAGGCACTTGATAGGAAGACACCATATGAAGTCTGGTTTGGAATTAAACCAACCATCCATCATCTCAAGGTCTTTGGTTGCATTTGTTACATGCATATTCCAAAGGCAAAAAGGGATAAACTTGATCATAGAGCTGAAGTTGGAATTTTTATAGGTTACAACAGTCAATCAAAGGGCTATAGGGTGTTTAATGTGAGAACTGGAAAGATAGAAGTCAATAGAGATGTGAAGTTTAATGAAGCTGCAACTTGGAATTGGGAGAATTCAGAAGTTATATCTTCTAAGACTATTCTTGAAGATGAAATTGATGAGGATTATG